ATGGGTTCAGGAGATTGGGTTGGTACGGTTTTGGGTTTGGGGTGTGGGGTTTTGGGTTTGGGTTTTGGGTGTTGGGTTTGGATTTGGGTTTTAGGTCCTGCAGAAGAGGTTGCAGAGGCAAAGGGGTACTGAAAGCTGCCAGGATAGGATAAGAGTAGGTGTCAACAACCTGAAACCCGAAACCCTACCCTAAGCCCTAAACCCTAACCCCTGAACCCCTAAACTCCTAAACCCCTATACCCTAACCCTAAACATCAGGAACACACCCCTCCCACTGTTCTCATCTATGCGAGCAGCCTAAAACTTAACCTGTTCAGTGGCGTAGCAACACAAACCCCTAAGGCCTATTCCAGTGGCACTTGTTAGCCCGTTGGTACCTTTTTTTACTTTTTTTTTTTTTTTTTTTTGGGGGGGGGGGGGGGGGGGGGTTCAAGGTTCTCTTCTACAGTAAGCAGCCAAAAAAAGGGTGCCATCATGACAATTTGATTACTGCATGGGCTACCAAGGGCAGATGAGCGAACAGTTTAGGGTGTCCAGCCTAAGACCTAGAGGGTTTGACATGCAGGGGTTCTACCTGACAGGCGAAGTAACCCGCGCTCCCGCTGGAGGAGGGAAGAGATAGTTCGTTTAGCGTAGGTTTTTTAGGGGTTTAGGGTGAAGAGTTGCGGGCTTTTTCGGCAACTTTCAACCGCTGCTGGCCACTATTCTTAGCCCAGCCCATCTCAGTGGCCAAGCCCGGTTGTGCCTGCAGAGACAAAACCCCTCTTGCTTAGACAACCTCTCTCACAAAGGGTTGTTGCAGATGTGCATCGTGTTTGACAACACGGCTAAGCCTAAACACAAAACCCCAACACCTGAAACCGGTCCTGAACCTAACCTGGCAACGTTCGGAGCGTTGCTTGCTTCCACCTTTCAGAGCAGCCTACGAGGCCTTCATGCAGACTGTCGCTGAGGCGGAGAACCATGCCAGGCGCGGGAAGTCAATGCCAATTTCAATGGTTCAGGTTCAAGGGGCCAAATATACCACACAGTTCGAACTCATCTACCCTGCAGGAGAGGACCTCCACCGGGCCTTTATTATCTTTTTCATGGGCCATATGAACCTAACAAGAAAGATCCTAGGGTGAAGGGGGCACCCACACATCCATCCTATCAAGCGGAATGAGGCATCTTCCCCCCCCATATCCACCTATTATCCTGTAATTAAGTGATTCTAGAAATTCTATAGGGTACGTCATTCCCTCAACTAAGAACCAGGAGCATGGATCCACCTGTCTATCTACACTTCATCCTCAAACCGACCGAGCTGAAAGCACAGCAGAGCCATCTTAAGCGGAGGCCTTTGTGAGCCTCAACCCTCAACCCTCAACCCTCAACCCTAAACCCTCAACCCTCAACCCTAAACCCTAAACCCTAAACCCTAAACCCTAAACCCTAAACTCCAAACCCCAAACCCCAAACCCCAAACCTTGAGGAACTGCGAGTTTGCGAGCGGACCTTCAAACTTGCAGCGGCAGGCGCCGTGCACTCGGGGGGTTTGACTGGAAGTTGCGGTGGTAGACCCGAAGCCCTAAACCCCAAACGCCAAGCCCCAAACCCTAAACCCTAAACCCTAAACCCTAAACCCTAAACCCTCAACCCTAAACCCTAAACCCTAAACCCTAAACCCTAGGGCTTAGGGTTTAGGCTTTGAGCTGCACAAACACAAACTGAGCCCTGGAGCATCCCCTGGGATCCCTAAGCCCTACTCAAGATCCCTGCAGCCAGCGGTCCCTCAGCCGTCGTTCTTAAGCCCTAAACCCGAAACCCTAAACCCTAAACCCCGAAGAGCCCTAGACCCCTACGAGCCCTAAGAGCCCCTAAGAGCCCCTAAAGGCCCTAGACCCTGAACCCTAAACCCTAAACCCTAGACCCCAACACTCCCCCTGAAGAACGTGGAGGTGCTTTCACTCATCCAGAGCGCCAGCAGCAACTGAGCCCCGCCGTCTGCAAGTACCCAGACCCTGGGGAAAGAGTCAGGGTTTTAGGGTTCAGGGTGTTGGGGTTTTAGGGTTTAGGGTTTAGGGTTTTTGGTTTTGGGGTTTTAGGGTGTTTGGGGTCAGGGTTTTAGGGTTGTGGGGAAGTGGGGTTAGGGTGTTAGGGTTGTGGGGAAGTGGGGCTTATAGGGGTTTGAGTGTTTAGGGCTTTAGGGTTCAGTGCTTGGGGTTGTAAGATATAGTTTTGTGTTTGGGGTGCACAGACCCTAAACCCTAAACCGCCTTGTTCTGAACAAACGAAAGAATGGGTGGGAAAGTGCCCGGTAGAGGGCAGCACAGGTGGTGCTTCATGCACTCCTCCATACTGCGACACCTAATCTTGTCCAGCGCCTTTCCCTCCACAACCCCAGAGGGCAGGCCAATGGTGTACTTATCCTGCTCCTGTTTCGGGTTTAGGGTTTAGGGTTTAGGGTTTAGGGTTTAGGGTTTAGGGTTTAGGGTTTAGGGTTTAGGGTTTAGGGTTTAGGGTTTAGGGTCTGGGGACAACTTGACTCTGAGTACGGTCGGTCAGGAGACCTAACCTGGTCGGTAGCGTCCCATGAGAACCCTTCTGTCTCCATGTATTGTGTACATACAGGGTTCGAGGGGCTCAGCACTCTGGTTCGGAATCTAGCTTTCTTCTGCAGCTGCGGAAAGTAGTTGCGTGTCGAGGCTTAGGGTTTAAGGTTTTGGGCTTAGGGTTTGGGGTTTTGGGTTTAGGGTTCCTGATTCGCGTTTTCCCTTCGGGGCCTGGCTAGCGGGCAGGAAGGCGTACGCTTTGCGGAACATGCAATCCGCAGCGGAGTGAATTGTGCAGTCTGACACAGACAGTTCACATCTTAACCAGCCAGACAGTCCCAAACCCTTATCAAGCACTAGCAGACCACCGCCACCCAGAAAGATAAATGCAACAAAGATGCAAAGTCCTTTCACCCCGGAAAACCATACCGGAATCGGCGACTCCATACGTTCAAAAAAAGCTACAGATGCGAGCTGTCATAATTCGTGAAACCGGAGGCTTCTCGCCCTAAACCCTAAACCCTATCAGCCCTACCGTGAAGTCGAATGTGTGCCGGAACGATGTAAACGGAGTCGGAAGCTGTGAGAGCCTCAAACCCAAACGGGCGCTAACATTGGGAAGGACAAGTCCAACATGTGCTTTTTGTGCAGCATCACATTTGCAGACACACTAAAGCCGAGAGCCCAAAGCCCTGGACTAGGGTTTAGGGTCTATAGGGTCTAGGGTTTAGGGTTTAGGATTTAGGGTTTAGGGTTTAGGATTTAGGATGTAGGGTTTAGGGTTTAGGGTTTAGGGCGAGAAGCTCGGAATTCCTCTTGGCTGCTGCGCAGCTTTCCCGCGGGCCAGCATGAGAACCAAATGCAGTCGTCTCTGCTCAGTGGTCGTTACACGGAAGGGTTTAGAGTTTGGGGTGCAGGGTGTCAAAATGTGGGGTTTGGGGTTTGCGGTTTAAGGCTTGTTCCAGACGCCTTCTTTGCACAAGAGTGGTATGCCCAAACTGAAGGCACCATTGCTGAGGAACCCTTGAAGTGTGTGCAGGAGATTTTGGGCTTTTGGGCTTTTTGCTTTGGGTGGTTAGGGGCTCAGAGGCTCAGAGGTTTAGGGTGTACAGGTTTAGGGTTAAAGGGTCTAAAGGGTTTATAGGGTCTAAAGGGTTTTTAGGGTGTACAGGTTTAGAGTTAAAGGGTCTAAAGGGTTTTTAGGGTGTACAGGTTTTGGGTTAAAGGGTCTAAAGGGTTTATAGGGTCTAGGGTACAAGGTTCAGGGTGTAGGTTTTCCACCGTTTACCCCACCCTCCAACCAGCTCTTGCACCTTATGTAATAGATCGGTATGTGCCATCCTACTGGCTCTTAGAAAAGGAGCGAGGGAATTGGGGAGCACCGAGAATTCCCTCGTTTCCTTCTAAGAACAATTCGGTCGCATAGAGCATACAAGAGCTACTCATGGATATCAGGCAATACTTGAACTTGTCATGCCTTACCTGGCAATATAGTACAGACCATGCGTGGTAGGGGATTAGGCTTTAGTGTTTAGGATTCTGGGATTAGGGTTTATAGGGTTTAGTGTTTAGGGTTTAGGGTTTCGCTCGAAAAGCCCAGTGGGACTCCGTTCAGAATGGACATGCGCATCAGTTCCTAGTATAAGCTGCAACCGCAGGATCCTAAATATCAACAGATCACCCTAAACCCTACACCCCCAAACCCTAAACTCTAAACCCTTCTACGAGCTAACTTACTAATGGTATTCCCCTTATGGTAATAGTTATACTGTAGTATCCCCCCCAAAACCCTATTCGAATTCTTAAGGCCCCTATACAACCGTAAACCCTACATCCCCAAACCCTAAACACTAAACCCTAACCCCTAAACCCTAAACCCTAAACCACCCCCGGAAGCATCCTCAACGGGCAATGCCTGTGATCCGCTGCCAGGTTGGGTGTATGGAGCCCGCACACCTCCGCAAGGAGCTGGTTGAGTTTAGGAAATGGGGTTTAGGGTTTAGGGTTTAGGGTTTAGGGTTTAGGGTTTAGGGTTTAGGGCTACTGATTGGGGTTTGAGGTTTAATGTTTAGGGTTTAGGGTTTTTGGCTTAAAGTTCAGGGTTCGCGGGGCTTGGGGATCAGTGGGTTGCCTTGAAGAGCCCTGGGGGCCCCAGTGTTTTGGTGTGGTTCAGGTGGCTTGAGCATGACGTAGTAGCTAATTAAGTAAATTTTATGGGATAGCACAACCACCTACAGAACTGAAAGTGTACACTTTTTGGGGCTTGGGAACTCAGCACTAAGATGAAGCTGTTCAGGTGCAGTATGTGCGTCAGGCTGCAATACGTTTGTCTGATTGTTTTGTAGCATGTTTGATAATGCTGCAGACACATACCTGATCATCTCTTATTGAAGGAGATTACTGCACATGACGAGCTTAGTCAGACAACAAGTCAAGAGACTCTGACATGTGTTGAGTACGTAAGGCATGACAGGTGTTGTAGGCGCCATCCCCACCTCGAAGGTAGTCAATGGGGAAACTCATGTCGTGCACTTGCACCATTCAGCTCTAAACCCTAAACCCTAAACCCTGAACCCTAAACCCTGAACCCTAAACCCTAATCCCGTCCTCCGAAGCCGTTCTGCCATTCAAGAAGCCTTCTCGTTGCAACGTAGTTTCGCTCGCAAATCACCGCATGATGAAGGCACGCGCACTTTCAGGTTTAGGGCTTCGGCTTATAGCGGGCGGCTCTTGGAGCCTGGGGGCACTAAATTTTGAGCTTTCGGTCGCCAGAGTTTGGGGGTTAGGGGTTTACAGGGCTTAGGGGCCCTTCCACCACCCTAAACGCAAAGTAGGATACCCTAAGCATCCATATATACTAACAGTCCTTTAATTTGTGGTACCCCTATTATCATCCCTATCAGGACTGTTAGTACAAGAGGGCAAAGCCAAAACCCTGCCCCCTAAACCCTCAACCCTAAACCCCAAACCCTAAACCCTAATCCCTAAACCCTAAACCCTATGCCCTAAACCCTAAACCCGAAGCCCGAAACCTCAAACCCAAACACTCATAAGAAGTCGAAGGTTGCAGTGCTTGCGGCGCTCTTCTCTCTCTCCGCAGCCCCGGTGGCAGCTGACCTTGGCAGCACTGTTCTTCGCAGCCCGGATCGCAACCCTGTAAAACCCCAATTAAGGTTTAGGGTTTAGGGTTTAGGGCTTAGGGCTTAGGGCTTAGGGCTTAGGGCTTAGAGTTTAGGGTTTAGGGTTTAGGGTTTGGGACCCTAAACCCCTTATTGGGGGTTGACGAGGGCTTGTAAGACGGTAGCCGTCTCTTGTATTTTGTGTAGCGACATTTTTGTTTTGGGACACAGCGGCACGTTCGGAATGTTCTTGGGGTTAAGATGGCTGCGCTAGGGGTTTGGGGATTTTTGGGGCTTAGGGCTCGGAGGGAATGCTCAACTTGCCGGAACTTTGTCAGCAAGAGAGCCTCATCATCACCAGCCTTCTGCTCCCTTCGTTTGCTTAAGCCTAAAACCCAAACCCCAAACCCCAAACCCCAAACCCTAAACCCTAAACCCTAAACCCTTAACCCTTAACCCTTAACCCTAAACCCTAAACCCCAAACCCTAAACCCTAAACCCTAACCTTCAACCTCCAGAACCCCCCAGCACAGGCACGCGCACGCCTGAGCCGCAGGCAGGGTACGCATACGCATTGATTGTGGGCTTAGGGTTTAGGGTTTAGGGTTTAGGGTTTAGGGTGTAGGGGCAGAGAGCAGGCGTTCGCAGCCTCCTTTGGTGTTATTATGTCTTCCGTAGAGGCCTTTCTGCGACGCTCCTCCGCGGCAACCAACCTGCACGAATTAATCGAGAACCTCATAAGCCCGATAAACGCTAAGAGCCCTACCTCCAGTTGTAAACCCCAAAAAACCTATAAACCAATAGGCCGTATGCACTCCCATAAACCCTGTAAGCCGTATAAAACAAACTTGGATAAACTCTACAAACCCTATAATCCCAACAAACTCTACAAACCCCTTCAATCCTACAAACTCCAAAAGGCCTGTAAAAACCCTTTAAGCCCTATAAACCCTACAAACCCCTTTAAACCCTATAAACCCCTCGAAACCCCGATAAACTCCTGTAAGCCCTACAAGCCCTCTAACCCCCCACAAAGCCCTATAACTGCCTATAACTTCCTGCAAAGCTTCTAAACCCTCTAAGCCCTGAACCCCTTTCCCTGGTCAGACGGGCTCGGAACCCCTGGTGGTGCGTCTTCAGCGCGTCGAGGGCAAGCACAGCCCCTCGGCTTTATAGGGAGTCAAGGATGCTAAAGGATGCTAAAAGGGGGGATGGGGTCTTTAAGGGTTCGGGTTTTTGGGGGTTTAAGGGTTTTGAGGGCATAAAAGCTAAACCAAAGCCCGACCCACGAAATAGAGGAGGGCGCATTGGTGGGAGAGGGGAAACCCGAAACCTTGACCCTCAACCGAGGGTTTAGGGTTTTGGGTTTACGGTTTAGGGTTTAGGGTAGCCTAAACCCACCACGAACCACGGGGGGCGAGAGGGGAAAACCTGAAGCTACGACCCTTAGCTCTGAACCCTAAACCCTAACCCTACAAAGCCTCCATGAACCACGGGGGGAGCCGAGTGAATGCTCTCAACCCTGCAGTAAATGCTGGCGCATACAAGGGTGTTTAGGGTTTAGGGTTCAGGGTTTAGGGTTTAGAGGGTTTAGGGAGGCACGGGAGTGTTTTACAGGGTTGTAGAAGGTTTAGGTTTTGGTTTCGCACCGCAGGATCGGTGAGCTTTTTAGGGCTTCGGTAGGGTTTCCGAGGACCAGGGTTGTCCAGAACAGGGCACGTTTAGGGTTTTTAGGGTTTAGGGTCTTTAGGGGTTTTAGGGTTTTTAGGGTTTTTAGGGTTTGGGGTTGTTTTGGGGTTTTTGTGGTTTTGGGGTTTTAGGTTTTTTCAGTTTGTGATCGTCCCAAGCCCTACTAAGCTCTCCCCAAAAAGTCCTCTTAGCCTTGGGGTCACTGACGGGTGAACATCTCTGGCAAGCCTGAATCCCTCAACCCAATAAGCCCCCCTAAAGGCCCCTGAAACCCCAGCCCCCTACCTTGGAGACCTTCAAAATTGGAGGTCATATCCTACGCTACTAGAATCCTGCTAAGGTATATGAACCATGACCCCTTTAGGGTTCATTTTGTCCCCTAGACCCTAAACCCTAAATCCCAAAAGAACCCCTAAATCCCCAATCATAAAGTCCGCTACGGCGCGTCCCTAAACCCTAAACCCTAAACCCTAAACCCTAAACCCTAAACCCTAAACCCTAAACCCTAAACCCTAAACCCTAAACCCTAAACCCTAAACCCTAAACCCTACACCCTAAAAAACCCTAAAAACCCTAAAACCTAAACCCTAAACCCTAAACCCTAAACCTAACCCAAAACCAAACCCTAAACCCTAAACCCTAAACCCTAACCCTAAACCCTAAAACCCTAACCCAAATTCCTCAGGCTCCCACTTCTATGTGGGCAGGACGCTCCGCCGCAATTTTCTCACGTCTGCTCCCCCCCCCCCCCCCCCCCCCCAGGGTTTAGGGTATAAGGTGTAGGGATTAGGGTTTCGGGTTTAGGGTTCAGGGTTTAGGTCACCAAGTCATCGAAGAGTCTTGAAGAGCTCATGGTTCATCGGTCGAGCGCCGGTGTCCTTCTAGAAGCCCCAAGCCCTTGGCTCTTAACCTTGCAAATCTCACGCCGTGAGCAGATCCCTAAACCCAAAGCCCTAAATTCAGGGTTTAGGGTTTAGGGTTTAGGGTTTAGGGTTTAGGGTTTAGGGTTTAGGGTTTAGGGTTAGCCCTTAACCCTTAACTCCAAACCCCTTAACCCTAAGATGCTCCAAGGCTGGCACTGGGCCAGCCAGCTCCACAGGAGCTTCTGCTCAGTGTTTTGTTTTTTGCAGGGTTGTAGGCTTGAGTTGAGAGAAGCCCTGCTGGGTTTAGGGCTTAGGGTTTAGGGTTTAGGGTTTAGGGTTTAGGGTTATGGTATAGGGTTTAGGGTTTAGGTTTATAGGGGCTTAAGGGTTTGGGGGCTTAAGGGTTGCTGTACGCAGCCCGAAAAGTCACGTGCCTGTCCCACGATTTCGCCGTTATAATTTCCCTCTTCAAACTCTAGAAACCCTAAACCCTGGAAACCCCAAACCCTACACCCTTGAAACCATACAAACCCTAAACCCTAAAACCCTGAAAGAGCCCAACAAAAACCTTAAAAGCCCTAAACACGCTACGAACCCTCAAAGAACCCAATTTTATTCGAAGACAGTGGAAAAACAGCCTTCGAAACCCTAAACAAACCAGGAGCTCCAAACCCTTCACCTTATAAACCCTATGAACACCTCCAAAAAACCTTTAACAACACGAAAAGCCCCCCTTCCCCCCAAAAAGGCCTTCAAAATTCCGTAGCTCCACGAGCTCCCAACCCAAACCCTTATAACTCTATAAACCCTAAACCCTGAACCCTAAACTCATATCTCTAAGCCCTAAACCCTCAGCCCGTTATCCTAAACCCTAAACCCTAGACCCTAGACTCTAGACCCTAAACCTTAAACCCTAAACCCTAAACCCCAAACCCTAAACCCTAAAGCCTACATAAACCCTAAACCCTAAACCCTAAACCCTAAACCCTAAACCCTAAACCCTAAACCCTAAACCCTAAACCCTAAACCCTAAACCCTAAACCCTAACCTAAACCCTAAACCCTAAACCCTAAACCCTAAACCCTAAACCCTAAACCCTAAACCCTAAACCCTAAACCCTAAACCCTAAACCCTAAACCCTAAACCCTAAACCTAACCCTAAACCCTAAACCCTAAACCCTAAACCCTAAACCCTAAACCCTAAACCCTAAACCCAAACCAGGAGCTCCAAGTTCTTTTCGACACCGCGTCCGGCCACCTGCTCGTTCCCCACTCCGCCTGCCCCAGTCGCGCCTGCAGGCTCTCCTTGGGTTCAGGGTTTAGGGTTTAGGGTTTAGGGTTTAGGGTTTAGGGTTTAGGGTTTAGGGTTTAGGGTTTAGGGTTTAGGGTTCCGGGTTTAGGGTGTAGGGTGTAGGGTGTAGGGTGTAGGGTGTAGGGTTCAAGCAGGGTCTGAAGTTTAGGGGCTCCGACGGCCTAGCCGCGACCACGATGGCGCAAGTACACTCCCTAAACTCGGGTCCTTTGGGGGGGGGGGGTTCCAGGGTTTAGGGTTTCGGGCTAGGGTTTAGGTTTTGGGGTTTAGGGGTTAGGGTTTGGAGTTTTAGGGTTTAGGGTTGAACACTCAACCTTAAAGTACACGAGACCCCAAACTTCTATCGCACGACCCCCTCTACCGGAATCGGATTGTCACAGGACCCTGCTCAAAGAGGATCCCTCATCCGGGTTTCGGATTCCTTTCTTAGGGGGGGTGGAAGGGTTTAGGGTTTAGGGTTTAGGGTTTAGGGCTTAGGGTTTAGGGTTTAGGGTTTAGGGTTTAGGGTTTAGGGTTTAGGGTTTAGGGTTTAGGGACTTCGAACATCTGCCGTGCAGGAAGCACAAGAGCTACTCGCCCTTCCACTCCACCACGGCCGTGGACGTCAACGCCAACGGCAAGCCCGTGAAGGAGGGCCAGCGCCTGGTCAAAGGCACCGCTCCTTCGGTTTATAGGCACCCAAAGCCCTAAACCCTAGCCCTAAACCCTAAACCCTAAACCCTAAAACCTTTTTGAGGGGCTTCGGCTGGGAGAAAGTCTGTACAGCTGCCATGTGTTCGGGCCATGACTCCAGCTCAGAACCGCAAGCGTAATTATGGGGGGGAGGGCGGGGGTTGCCCTATAGTCATGATTCTGGCCATTCAACCTCAGTAACTGAGGTTTAGGGTATAGGGGTTTAGGGTTTAGGGTGTAGGGTTTAGGGTTTAGGGTTTAGGGTTTAGGGTTTAGGGTTTAGGCTTTCAGGAATGTCTTCTCAGCGGTCTTCTGCGGAGGCAAGACCATGAGGGATGCGGTGACCGTGGAGTTCACTCAGGCGCGGCAGCCAGCATCCTTTCCCCTGGTTCAGTCGGCGTCTGCCACAGCGCCTGCTGCAACCCCTAAATATTTGCCACCTCCTAAACCTGAAACCCTAAACCCTAAACCCTAAACCCTAAACCCTAAACCCTAAACCCTAAACCCTAAACCCTAAACCCTAAACCCTAAACCCTAAACCCTAGTTTAGGGCTTGTAGGGCTTCGTTGCAGGCCGATCTTGGCGAGGGAGCGGCCCGAGCAGTACCTGGGCGCGCAGAAGGAAGTTCTCCGTGCTTCGAATTCCAGCGATCTCTGCTGGAGGGTTTAGGGTTTAGGGTTTAGGGTTTAGGGTTTAGGGTTTAGGGTTTAGGGTTTAGGGTTTAGGGTTTAGGGTTTAGGGTTTAGGGTTTAGGGTTTAGGGTTTAGGGTGTAGTAAGTTTTCGTGGGTATGTTTAGGGTTTATGTCGGGTTTGTTTTGGGTTTTAGCTTTAGCTTACTTAGGCTCTATGTCGGGTGTATTTAAGGTTTGCTTAGGGTTTGAAAGGCTTCTAGGGTTCAGGCTTTTTCCTCCTAGACCTTAAACCTTAAACCCTAAACCCTAAACCCTAAACCCTAAACCCTTGCAGGTCCTGGTGCATGACAATGTCTGCCTTGGCACGGAGTTCGGGCACCAGGTCTGCACCGATCTCGACATCATGGCCGCAGTGGCCCCCGTCGAGTTTGTGGATGGGTTTAGGGTTTAGGGTTTAGGGTTTAGGGTTTAGGGTTTAGGGTTTAGGGTTTGGGGTTTGGGGTTTGGGGTTTAGGGTTTAGGGTGAGATGTTGAGACGGCATCAGCCTGTCTTCAGTGGAACTGAAAAGTTGCAGGATTGTGTGTTGTTTTTCTGTTGAAACTGGGGGGGGGGGGGGGGGGGGGGGGCTGGGGTTTGGGGGGTGGAGGAGGCATCATTGTTGCAGATGGGGATGTTCCCCCTTATACTAACTCAACAGTCCTTAACAGGGATTCTAGTACCCCTCTACTATAGTCCCTAAAAAAAGGAGCTGTTCGTAGAAGGGTGAACATCCCAAGTTGCAGATGACTCTGCAAGGGGTGGTTGAGTTGTGTCGTTTAGAGCTCATCTGCGAGGGTTTAGGGTTCTAGGTGAGCATTGGCAGCTCCGTAGGGCAGGCGCCTGCCACTGAAGCGTTTGAGGCTTGATAGGGTTTAGGGTTTAGGGTTCAGGGTTTAGGGTTCAGGGTTTAGGGTTTAGGGTATAGGATCAGACCAGGTAGACAAAAGGCTGCCAACAGCAAACAGCTTGCAGATGAATGCCATACTTGACATGGCGGGCCTGTAGGACCAGGAGTAGGCCCTTACTCCCTTTGTTTAGGGTTCAGGTTCTCTTTGTACCCTTAAGCCAGAAGGGCACCCTTTTATTCCTAGGTTACTCTTGGGCTCTTCTGTCTAGTAGCCCTAAACCCAAAACCCTAAACCCTAAACCCTACAACCCATGCCCATGTTATTCCTAGGTTTCTCTTGGGTCCAGTGGCTCGGCGTTCGCACAAAAGCGCATGCCAGGTGAAGATGGACGACGAGCTCTTCGATGCCATGCCGCTCGATGTTTAGAAGCCCTAAACCCTAAACCCTATAAACCCTAAACCCTAAGCTCTAAACCCTAAACCCCCTGAAAAAGCCCTAAATCTCCGAAAGCACATTCCCTCGAAGGCCTAAGCCCTAGACCCTTTAAATCCTGAAGCCGAAAGCACAAAACCGTATACCCCGCAAACCCCGAAGCCCCTGTCTGCCTGACTTGCAAAGGCCCTATGATGGTATGCTTGGGCTCAGCATGGCAGGCGCCAGCGATTGCTGTCAGTGCTTGCGGGTGCAGAGGATTTGGAGTTTGTGGAGTCTGGGTTTAGGGTTCAGGGTGTAGGGTTCTGGGCAGAGAGCTTCGGGTTTCAGGATTTAGGGTTGAAACAGCACTCCGCTACCTCCCCCCAACTCGGCTAAGCCCTAAGCCTAAGACCTTAAATTTCTGAATGCTGAACCCTAAGCTCGAAGCCCCAAACCCTGAGCCCGAAAACGCAGCAGGCCTTTCCTCCGGAACGGGCTGCGTGTTCTTCAACCGGCTGATGGTCGCTTGGCCACCCTTGGGCCCACAAACTGAGACTGAAATGTGTTTCGGGCTTAGGGCTTCGGGCTGATAACTTCACTGGTCACTTCTCTGCATTAGGGTCCCTTTTGGGGTCCTTAAAACAGGTGGCCCTTCTTATTTGGGGTACCCAAATTGGGACCATAAGTCAGGGTGAGGGTTTAGGGTTTAGGGTTTGGGTGTAGGGCTTATAGTGGAGCCACTTGTGCTCACCCCGGCAATCTCAAGCCCTGCGCCAGTCGCAGGTCCTGGTCTTTGGGTTTGGGGTTTGGGGTTTGGTTTTGGGATCAAATTTTGGGTTTAGGGTTTAGGGTTCAAATTTTGGTTTTAGGGTTTAGGGTTTAGGGTCGAAATTTTGGGCTTAGGGCTTAGGGCTTGGGGTTTAGGGTTTCGGGTGTAGGTTCCGTTCGACTTCCAGATGCCCCGACCCTTCTTCAGGGGTCCCCCGTACGCCTCAGAGCCCAGCCCACAAAGGAGACCAACCCATCGATGCTTCCGCAATTCGGTCTGCCCCTTGGCTGCGCTTCCCTAAACCCTAAACCATAAACCCTAAACCCTAAACCCTAAACCCTAAACCCCAAACCCCAAACCCCAAACCCCAACAACCTCCAATTCAGGTCCTTTGGCGCCCAGTCGGGTGAGATCTATTTCGGTGGCCATGACTCCTCTCGACTGGCGGAGGAACACCGGGGTTTGGAGTTCGGGGTTTAGGGTGTAATTATAGGGTTCAGGGTTATGTATATGGTGTAGGGTTTATTGGGTTTAGGGTTTATGGGGCTTGGGGTTTAGTGTTTACTTACCGGCTCTTCGCAAGGAAGGAATTTGAAAACCAAAGCCCTAGAATCCCTAAACCCCAAAGATCCGTTGGAACCCCAAAACCCTAAACCCTAAACCCTAACCCTAAACTCTAAACCTGAATGCTTAGAATAGGGGTTTGGGGGGGCCTGTTCTAGTGTAATTTTTTGGGGCCATAAGGGAATACGATCAGTAATCATTCCCTTATGGCCCCTATATGACCCCTATGTTAGGCACCTTATATATCTCCCCACAGGGACGATTTCCCTATTTCCTTCACCACAAACTACACAGCCATGAAGTCGCGCCCCTTGCGCTCCTGAAACCCTAAACCCTAAACCCCGAACCCCAAACTCTAAACCCTACACCCTAAACCCTAGCCCTAAACCCTAAGCCCTAAACCCTAAACCCGAAACCCTAAACCCTCACTCCCGGAAGCTTCACTACGGGGCACAGCCATGGAGGAGCTGAAGTGGTTCCCAGTGCTCCACCCGGATGCAGCTGGGCCAGGGCTTAGAATTTAGGGATGTCTTCGCAAGGAGCCGGCAGGGTTTAGGGTTTAGGGTTTAGGGTTTAGGGCTTAGGGTTTAGGGTTTAGGGTTTAGGGTTTAGGGTGCAGGGTTTCGGGTTGAGGGCTTAGGGTACTAATGGGGTCCAGAGGATGTGAGGGCACAATGTGGGGGTGTTACGAAACAGGGGACCCCCAATATAAATACCCAAATAGTCGGATCCCCTTACAATGAGGCCTCTAATTGACCCCGAATCTCGGAAACCCAAAACCCTAAACCCTGAACCCTAAACCTTAAACCTTAAACCCTAAACCTTCAACCCCTAAACGCCCAGTTGGCCGGAAGCTTGCTTGAGGATGGATTCTGGGAGGTGGCAATCCAGAGCGTCCGCCTGGGAAATGCCACTTGACAGGGTCTTGGGGTTTAGGGGCTTTGAGGGGCTTTTCGGGTCTTTTTTGGGTTTTAGGATTTAGGGTTTCAGGGTTTAGTTTTAGGGTTTGTAGAGGTTCTTTAGGGTTTAGGGTTATTAGGGTGAGATTCCCGAATCACGCTTGGAAGCTTCTGATCATGGCATGACTTTGCCACGGGTCATACCTGAAGAAGCGATCTGCTTGCTCCCCTCCCCCCCCCGCCCCCCCAGATCCCGCCCTTAAGGCTTGCGCTGCTTGCTTGCGCCTAAACCCTAAACCCTAAACCCTAAACCCTAAACCCTAAACCCTAAACCCTAAACCCTAAACCCCAAACCCCAAACCCCAAACCCCAAACCCCAAACCCTACTCCTTCCCCTTAAGACCTTACCCTAAGCCCACTGTCTCCTGCCCACCCGAACCCTAAACCCCTTAAACCCCCTAAACCTCCTCAATCCCCTAACCCCCCCCCTATAGCCCCCTAAGCAGCTGAACCCTAAACCCTACTAAGCCCTCTCCTCAGCCCTAGACCCTGTACCCTAAACCCTCTCCTTAGCCCTAAACCCTGAACCCTAAACCCTCTCCTTGGCCCTAAACCCTACACCCTACACCCTCAACCCTCAACCCTCAACCCTCAAACCTTCCTTCGCCCTTACCCGAGTCTCCTATAAGGTCACTGTGGACTCCTGCAAAGATGGATGCCGGGGCATCATCGACACGGGCTCCTCAAGGATCCTTTTTTTCTTTTTTTTTTTTTTGGGGGGGGGGGGGGGGGGGGTAGGGGTTAGCGTTCAGGGCTTAGGGCCCACGAAGAATTGGGCCTTGCCCAACTTTGTGGGCAAGGCCCAAATCTTGGGCAAGGCTCGTACGGAGCCTGAGGTTATGGCTTGCGTGAACCCTAAACCCTAAAGCCTTAACCCTAACCCCAAACCCTAACCCCAAACCCTAAGCCCTAAACCCTAAACCCTAAGCCCTTAACCCTAAACCTGTATTTTCTTAATGTTTGGATTGTTTGGGCGGGTATGTTTCCAAAGCTCTATACGAGCAGTTGGATCCGTCCATCGCTGTGGCGTCGCCAGGCTCGGTGTGCAGGAGAACAACTTCCAGGCCTCGACGTGGGGGTTAGGGTTTAGGGTTTAGGGTTTAGGGTTAGGGTGTAGGGTTAGGGTTTAGGGTTTAGGGCTTAGGGTTTAGGGTTTAGGGTTTGGGGTTTGGAGTTTGGTTTAGGGTTTAGGTTTTTAGGGTACAGCGCTTGTTGTATGTCGGATGCTTCCGAAAACGTTCGGATTCCTTACTTTCGGAGACTTGTGCCTTTTGACTACGGCTACTGTGATGTTTCCCCCCCCCCCCCCCCCTAGCCCCCTAAGCCCTCAACCCGGACTGCGATTGTGATGAAGCCCCAAACCCGAAACCCTACACCCAAAAACCTTAAAATCCTAAAGGCCGAAAACCGAACCCTAAATCCCCAAAACGCTAGAACCCCGAACACCCTAAAGCCCAAAGCACGCAGGGGCCCTAAACCCTAAACCCCAAAACCCTCAACCCTAAACCCTAAAGCCCCTAAAACCCGAACAAGCCCTGAGCATGCAGAGGCCCTCCAGGCTGCTCTCTCCCACGCTCAGCCCCTGGTGGGCGGCGGCTGCCAAGGCGGGAGTTTTTTGTTAAGTTGTTTTTGGGATTTGTTGAGGGCTTTGGGTCTTTTTTGTTGTTGTTTTTAACCTTTTTGTATTTATAGTTTTTGATGGTTTTAGATGTTTATGTTTTTTTGTTTTATCATTTTTTTGGTTTTTGAAGGGTGTGTTGGGACTTTGCGGGTTTTATGATTTTGGGGGTTTAGGGCTCTGTTAGGGTTCTAGGGCTTGTTGGTTTGGGTGTCTCGCGTCTTAGGATTTCAGGATACGGCTTCAGGACTTTGAGGCTTCTCTTTGTGTTTGGTCTTGGCTCGCAAGTCGCATGCAGGAAGAAGATTTTCAAAATCTAAACCCTGGGCTCCGGAAGGGAATAAGGTGGAGCGGCTTGGGTCGCTTCTTTTGTAGAGATTCTAGGCCAGGGTTGCTGGGGTTGAGCGGGCCTGGGCTGTGTTGGAGCTTAGGGCTTTGGGCTTTGGGTTTAGGGGGTTTAGGGTCTAGGGTGAGCTGCTGAGGAGGGGGACCGGCTTGTCTCACATTGTGGTGGTTTTGAAGGGTGAAAGGGGGCGGGGGGTCGCTATCACTTAAACCCTAAACCCTAAACCCTAAACCCTAAACCCTAAACCCTAAACCCTAAACCCTAAATCCTAAACCCTAAACCCTAAACCCTAAACCCTAAACCCTAAACCCTAAACCCTAAACCCTAAACCCTAAACCCTAAACCCTAAACCCTAAACCCTAAACCCTAAACCCTAAACCCTAACCCTAAACCTCATAGGTCTTAATGGTCAGGGCTTGTGGTCTTGCAGTCTGCCAGTGAGGGTGGGAGGGTCACGATTTCTCTGCACCCGGGGGCAGAAAGAGAAAGAGAAGGCCACATGTTTTGTCAGCGCAGTTCGGACGTTTCACAACTCCTCAACCGTATGAAGCTGTTTAACCCTAAACCCCAAACCCCAATCCCCAAACCCCAAACCCCAAACCCTAAGCCCTATACCCTAAACCCTAAACCCTAAACCCTAAACCCTAAACCCTAAACCCTAAACCCTGAACCTGCTTGAGCAAGAGCATTCGGGATCTTGGCAGGGCCAGAGCTGGAGTTCGACCTGGGAGACATGAAGCTGAAGCTGCCCGGTTTAGGGTTTAGGATTTAGGGTTTAGGGTTTAGCACCCTGTTCATATGTAGTGTCGCCTGCGTCCTGGCTGTGCCGTGCTTTGCGCAGAGGGCCATTGCACCTTGAAGGGTTCAGAAGCAAAAGCCTGTCTAGCAGAATGAAGAGCGACACAGGTGTAGGATTCAGGGTTTAGGGTTTAGGGTTTAGGGTGTAGGATTCAGGGTTTAGGGTTTAGGGTTTAGGGTTTTCACAAGCCCGGTTGAACCCCTGAAACCCTAAGCCCCAAACCCTAAACCCTAAACCCTACACTGCAGACGAAGCTCAGAGGTGTTGCTAGGAAATCCTTCCAGTTCTCTGATCACAGAAAGCCATGCTCACCGGCCGGGAGTCAGGAAACCCGCGTCAACCCCAACCCCAAAGCCTAAACCCCAAACCCCAAGCCCTAAACCCTAAACACCAAACACCAAACCCTAAACCCTAAACCCTAAACCCTAAACCCTAAACCCTAAACCCTAAACCCTAAACCCTAAACCCAGGCTGCGTGTGGAAGACTATGTCACGGGCTCCGACTGCGCGCCGCAACTGGGCTCGCTGGAGTTGGATCCCAAGGAGCTGGGCGTAGGGTTTAGGGTTTAGGGTTTAGGGTTTAGTGTTTAGGGTTTAGGGTTTAGGGTTTAGGGTTTAGGGTTTAGGGGTCTTCGGGTTTAAGGGTTTAGGGCTGGGGGTTGTAGAGTTTAGGGTTTAGGGTTAGGACTCAGGGCTTTAGGGTGTAGGACTCAGTAATTTTAGGGTTTGTAGGGTTCTGTAGGTTTTGCTGGTTCGAGGGTGGACGTCGATATACTGAACTCGATGGTTTTTGTACACTTGTGGTTCGGGGTTTGGGGCTGCAGGTTCGGGATTGCTTGCTTCTGTTCTGCCGTGCCGGCAGGCAGGGTTGCAGGAAGCTTGAATTTCTACCCGAAAGCCCTCAACCCTCGACCCTCGACCCTAAACCCTAAAACCCTAGACCCCTCGCGACCGCAAGTGTGCCCCGTGTCCGGAGGAGTACCATGGCGTTTACGCCTTTGGTGAGACCGTCCTCCGCAGGCTTGGGGGAGCCGACTGCCCTGTAGGAGAGCAGTCCCTGTCACACAGACACAGAGACACACAGAGACACACACACACACACACACACACACACACACACACACACACACCCCTACCTCCCCCGCCCCCTCCCAGGAAAAATCGGCCCTTCCTTCCGAATGCGAGGTACTATGCTGCCTTCGACTGGCAGGACAAGCGCATTGGAAGCTTAGCCTGAATTAATGTAGCGAAGGAGTTGCTCCTGTTTGCTTAAAGAAGCCCCCTTCCCCAGAAACAATTTGTATTCTTCCTTACAAGGGCAACATAGGGATTATAGCCTTGTTTTCGTCTGGGTGTTCTTAAGCAAATAGGAGGTTGTGCTTCTTGGTAGGGAATGAAGGAATTCTGTCCTCTGTGGCCTTCACAGACTCTCATGGGGGCGTGTAGGGCACTGAATCCCCTTATTCCCGACGAAGAGCGCAGCTCGGGGGCGTTGGGCTCTTGTGTGTGGAAGTGGGGGGTTTAGGGTTTAGGGTTTAGGGTTTATGTAAAGGGTTATAAAGGGGGCATATAAGGGAGGGGTAGAAGGAGGGGAGCTTGAAGAGTAGACGAGCCTCACCGTCGGGGCATGACCTGCCTTGCTCTTTGGATTTAGAGGCTGCTTGCGACGTTGTGTGGCTAGGCTTTGAAGTCGCTACACTATTCATTCTGGGTTTAGGGTTTAGGGTTTAGGGTTTAGGGTTTAGGGTTTAGGGTTTAGGGTTTAGGGTTTAGGGTTTAGGTCTGACTCAGGAGGCAGAACCTTTCTGGGTAGGCTGTTTGGGGTTTAGGGTTTTGAGGAGGCAGAACCCCAAGACTCTTGCGGCAGCTTCTCAGGCATGAACGGTAGCAGGTAGCAACAAACTAGACGTCATCGCTCCGCGTCACCCGCCCCAGCCTTGTCGGGTTTGAAAACCCTAAACCCTAAACCCTAAACCCTAAACCCTAAACACTTCCAGGGGGCATGCTGAGACTTGGGGGTAGCAGGCCCCCAGGCTCAGGAGAAAGTGAGCATGAACCATGCGTCATACGAGATGCCAACTGCTTCATCCCCTAACAAACCCTAAACTCCTAAACACTAAACCCCTAAACCCCTAAACCCCTAAACCCCTAAACCCGTAAACCCCTAAACCCCTAAACCCCTAAACCCCTAAACACCTAAACCCCTAAACCCCTAAACCCCTAAACCCTAAACCCTAAACCTAATAGCCCATCGTGGATGACCACGGAAGACTCAGGCTTTGCCCCTGTGGCGCAGCGCCGTGTGCAGCTTGGCAAAGCGGGCAGCGTGCCAGTCATTACCGTCTAGGCTGGGCCCAGATTTTAGGAACGGATCACTAATTTAGGGTTTAGGGTTTAGGGTTTAGGGTTTAGGGTTTAAATGGTCCAGAAGTACGGGTATTTCAGACCTTTCCTTGAATGGGCCTGCCGATCCATCTTCAACTGTCTGTATTGCCCTACACTTCCCTGGCTCAAGTCCGTGGGGATGTCTTCAGGGTGGAAGTTCCCATATGTATCTTAGCCCCACAGGGCACTGCAGAAGATGGCTTGTGAACCCTCTGCAGCATGCCTTGTCGGGCCCCCCCGGAGCTTCACACAGCAGGCAGGAAAAGAGCGCGGCGCTACCCTCTGAACTCCTCCAAGAACCGGGATGTTAAACCCTCCTAAACCCTGCAAAGCCCAAAGCCCTAAGCCCTAAACATCCCGAAGCCCTAAACTCTAAAACCCTAAACATCCCTAAGCCCTCAGCCCGAAACCCTCAACCCAAACTCCGCCCCTCTCCCCTCCCCCCCCCCCAGTCGCTATGGTCTTGGGTGCCCATGAGATCGGGATTGGTGTTCAGAGGTCTGGTTCAAAGAAGATTTACGGGCTTAGGGCTTAGGGTTTCGGAGTTTAGGGCTTTCGGGGTTCAGGGGTGCAGGGTTTTAGGGGTTTTAGGGGTTTAGGGGTCTAGTGTTTAGGGCTTTCGGGGTTCAGGGGTGCAGGGGTTTAGGGGTTTTAGGGGTTTAGTGTTTAGGGCTTGGGGTTTGGGGTTTGGGGTTTGGGGTTCAGGGGTTCAGGATCGAACCCTGTATGCTGCAGCCGAACCTTTGTTTCCTCTGCAACCCCTGGGAAGCCCCCAACCTCCATCCGAAAGGATCCTAAACCCTAAACCCTAAACCCTGAACCCTGAACCCTGAACCCAGAAAACCCTCCACCCTTTCCGGCCCCTGTTCAGCCCTATCATCTGCAGCCTGTGCGCCCTACAAGCCCAAGAAGGTTTAGGAGTTAGGGTTGTTACCCCCGATACAAACCTTCATCCACCCCAATCAGTCCTCAATTCAGCCCGGAGGAGCCCTGCAACCCCCCTGATCCTGCAGCCGGGCCCTACGCTTACACCCTAAACCGCATGGCTTGAAAGAATTGGATTCAGGATTGAGGGTTTAGGCTTCGGGCTTTAGGATTCAGGGTTTGGCATTTAGGGCTTAGGGTTTAGGGATTAGCCCTACAAGCCCGAAACCCCAACACCCTAACACCCTAAACCCCCCAAGCAAGAATTATGGGGTTCTTAGGGAGGTCCCTAAGGCTCCCTAAGTCTCCCTAAGCTTCCCTAACGTTCCCTAGGTACCTACCCATGAACCCCCTCCCTGAAGAACCCTAAACCCTGAAACCTAAACCCTTAACCCTGAAACCCTAAACTATAAAAACTGAACCCCAAAGCCTCTCCCGTCCGAGGAACAGTCCCTTAAGAGCCCCTATAAAACGAAACAACCCTAAACCCTAAACCCTAAACCCTAAACCCTAAACCCTAAACCCTAAACCCTAAACCCTAAACCCTAAACCCTAAACCCTAAACCCTAAACCCTAAACAAAGAAGGACGCGGAAGACTCGGAGATGGGCAGCACCACGATCCACACCCATCAGGCGCACCAGTCGCCGGGCGCCCCTGGGTGTTTAGGATTTAGGGCTTTAGGCTTTAGGGTTTAGGGTTTAGGGTTTAGGGTTTAGGGGTTTAGGGTTTAGGGTTTAGGGTTTAGGGTTTCGAGTTTAGGGTTTCGGGCTTTAGTGTTTAGGGTTTCGGGTTTGGGGTTTAGGGTTTCGAGTTTGGGGTTTAGGGCTTTCTCAGGCCCTTGGGACATGCTGTGCCTTCCCTTGTTGGTTTTTCAGAGGATCATATTCAGGAAGCCCTAAACCCTAAACTCGAAACTCCTCCAAGCTTCCCCGAACCTGACCCCTTAATAATTTCAATAAACCCTAAACCCTAAACCCTAAACCCTAAACCCTAAACCCTAAACCCATTTTGGGAAATACCCGTATGTTTCAGGGTTCAAGGGCCATCCTAGAATGGCATCCTCTCCGAATCCGTCTTAGCGGTTAAGGGGGTTTTCTGTAGGTTTTGGGGTACCCTAAAGGGTTTGGGTTTAGGGTTTAGGGTTTAGGGTTTAGAGTTTAGGGTTTAGGGTTCAGGGTTTAGGGTTTAGGGTTTGGGGTTTGGGGTTTGGGGTTTAGGATTTGGGGTTTATGGTTTGGGTTTGGGGTTTAGGGTTTCCCGAGACCTGAAACCCTTACCCCACCCGTAGAGACCTTGCCGGCTCAGCCCTCACCTGCCTGAGAGTTTAGGGCTTAGTGGGTTTCGCAGTTTAGGATTTTAAACCCTAAACCCCTAAACCCTAAACCCTAAACCCTAAACCCTAAACCCTAAACCCTAAACCCTAGGGTTTAAGCATATTTGCGCTGTTAGGGAGTTTAGGGGGAGAGTTTTGCGGGGGTTCTCGGGGCTTTGGGGTTCTGGAGCTTAGGGCTGAGGGGCCTTCTAAGGGCTTAACACTAGTTAAACCCTAAACCCTAAATCCTAAACCCTAAACCCTAAACCCTAAACATACATAAACGAAGGTTTCGGAGTTCTAGCTTTTCGGTGCCGAATGGACGTGAGTTAGGGCTTTTGTGGGGTTTTGAGGTCTAGAGAGTTTTGGGTTTAGGGTTTGGGGGTTTGGGGACAAAAGGGTTTAAAGGTTTGGGGTTTGGGGTTTTGGGGTTTAGGATTTAGGGTTTAGGGTTTAGGGAATAGGGGTTTAGGGTTTGGGGCTCATGGTTTAGGGGTTTGTGGTTTAGGGTGTGGGGGGGTTGAGTTATCAGGGGTTTACGTTGCGTTTCGGCGCAGTTCCCCGATCCACTCTTGAGGGTCTTGGTGTCATCCTCCCAGTTCAGGGAGAACAACAAAGCCCCAAACCCGGAACTTGACCCTAAACCCTAAACCCTAAACCCTAAACCCTAAACCCTAAACCCTAAACCCTAAACCCTAAACCCTAAACCCTAAACCCTAAACCCTAAACCCTACCAGGTAGGCCCTTGGGATATTGTGTATTGGGTTTTGAGGAGATCATATTTCGAAATACGTAGGCCGTAGGCCCTTGGGAAATGTCTATTGGGTTTTGAGGGGATCATATTTAGGAATGGGAAGGCCCTGGGGATATTTTTTGGTTTCGTAGGAGGATCATAAAGTTAGGAAGTTTCAGGAGGATCATATGTCGGAATACGTACCCCCTTGGGA